TCTACAAATATGTTGGGATAAAACATGGGTAGATGAAATAGTTGGTGTGTGATGAAATAAAATGATGAGAGATAGGTGATGATAGGAAGGTGATGATAATTAGGTGATGGATAGGTGATGATGAATCGGTGATGTAGGATGAAAGATACTATAACCTTGTCCGACAATTTGGAGATGTAGTCATCTACTAGAGTATAGATGGCGACCACGGACTATTCTAGACAACCCGTGGAAACACCAGCAGACTTATAACCTGTAGGTGATGAATTACAAGTCCAGGTGATGTTGTGACTGTATATTCATGTGATGATACTCTAACCCTTACTATGAATTACGAGTTCAGGCGACGTTGTAACTACGTATTCATGCCTTAGGAACGAGCATATAAGGAAATGTGATGTAAAAAGATGAGAGGTAAATACGACATAGGAGATGACCCTTAAGATAATTCTTTAGGGAATATTAAATGAAGAAAATGGGGATGGGTAATTGGGTTGATTGTTTGATTGTTTAAACATAATAATTATATTATTGTGGGTTGAAAACCCTATGTACTCACCAGGTTTCCCAACCTGACCCACTCAAGCTTATTTGTATCACAGGTGTCGATATGAAGCTAATTTAAACCGAGAGATTTAAAAGAGATGTAGATCACTAGTGTAAATGAATGTAAGTTTTGTTTATGCTTATGTTTCTGTATTGACGATGACATCCCAATGTTTTGAAAATGAATGAAATACATTTCTTCGGAAATGATTTGATAACGTATTTATCATGTTTTTCTGGGAACAAATTCCGCAACATTTTTATTAAAAGAGGTACTCTGATTTTTATAAAGCATAAACAAAATTGGTCTTTTCTGGCCGTGAAAATAGGGATGTCACAGTTGGTATCAGAGCATTAGTTTAAGCGAACTAGGAATTTGTAGGAAATTTCTAGACTTAAACTTAGAGTGCAAAGCGATGATTGTGAGATGAGTGTCTGCTATATTTTAGACACGAGCACTAGTTTATTTTAGGAAAGATGCCTAAAATGTTTTATGTGCTAAATGTTTTATGTTATAGCTATAGAGATGTCTTATATGCTATTATTTGTTTGGATCTATGGTCTATTGCCGACCGGATCTGGAAATTTTATGTGTTCAGATTTCTAAACGTTTAATTACGATATTAGAACTGGCATGTAACTTTTCGAAGTAATAGGGAGATTTATACGTCTATCGTAAATAAAACTTTCCTATCTTAAATTCTCGCCTCAGTACACCGAATGTCTACTTTGGTACAAAACGTCATGGTGAAGACAGACTAGGAAATATCTGAGGAAGATGACAACCTGAGCCGAAGAATGTGACGGGTCATGCATCGGTCGTTGCGCCTGCACCCGAACCTATCACAATGGCAGAAGTTCAGGAAGTGATGCGGACCATGATAGACTGATAAAATAGAGGAAATAATAAGGCTTACGATAGTGAATGATACCTATCAGAAGATATCGTAAGAGAGGTATCTTGCCTTTAGAATGCGTCTAATAAATAATACGTCTAGTATGGGAGAAGTACACTTTCGATTGGCAGAAAGAAAGAATTCTTGGTATAATCCATAAAGTTATCCCATGGTCTTGAATTTCCAATACCAACTGAGTTGAAGCAGAATTGATGATTGAAGATGTGCATGGAAGAAGTCCTAGTAGAGTCTAGGGAAATTTCTTTTTTATGATTATTTGGACACACTCGTATGTGTTAAATTGTTTTGTGATTTTAGGACTTGGGGACTGCGAGACAATACTTGGGACGAGTATGAGTAGGTGTGAATGGTAGTAGATGCATATACTACCGGAAGCACAGGACTCACACTTGGATCAGGGAAAGTCACAAGGTTACCAAGAAGCTAGTAATTGATACCATTTTATTTAAGTATGTCATTACCATTGTTTCGGTAATGACTAAGAATATTGTTGTTATTCCGACCCTAGTGGTCATATCAAATTGAGTCCGACTAAGACGAATATGTTACATGGTTCAGAGAACAAAGTTCGATGTAACATCTGACTTAAGCTAGAAGATTGAAATGAAATATAATCAAAGCGATCAGTACAGGTATCACGACAGTTGCTTGTAGCTAGAAATGCTGCCTTTTAAGATGTCATAAGAACACGAAGGAAGGTATAGTCTGTTCCGGAATTTGACTCTAAAAGACCTGAGTCTAAGCATTGCAACATACGATGAGAGGTCATTAGAACATGACCTATCGGTCTATTATGATAATCGAAGGAAGAAACTTATCTCAAGTTTGTTAAATAAGGAGTCTCCAATAAAGATCGAGATCGTGACATGAAGATCATGATTGGAAGTCTAACATAAGATAGAGAGCGGATGCAAGATCGAGCACCGCCTGTAGTCAAGGAGTCTAAGAGTTAAATACTTATTCGAAGAAACATCAAAGTTATGACTTAGGATGAAGAGATAACGTATGGAGTCATCATGTGAGCCATGTTTCAGATTTTTAGGGATAACTAAATCTCCTAAAAATCCGAAAATTTCCTTTTATAAATGTAGTTAATTGTCCAAAATACCCTTTTGCTAAAAATTGTGTGATTATATGGTACATGTTACCCCATTGTAATATCATACACCCTCAAATAATGTCCATTGATTAATTCTATCCGTTGGTCCAAATCTGTGCATTATGACACACAATAGTTAGCAAAAACAAAATAACCTAAGCCATATATATATATATATATATATATATATATATATATATATATATATAGGGTGAGGTTCAATAGAGAACCATAATTAACCAAGGAACCAATCTTTTTTTCAACTTTTAGAACTTATTTTTTATCAAAAAAAAAAAAACTAAAAATACAGAAATTAATAACTTTTTATCCTTTTTCCAATGATACCAAATTCATTTTTTTTTTACGTCAAATTCACAATGTGAATATTTGAAAATTCACAATGTGAATCCGGATTCACACGGTGAATCTGAAAAATATTTTTCACATTCACAATGTTAATATATGAATTTAGATATTTTTAGATTTTTTTTCGATAAAGAATAAGCTCTAGAAATTGAAAAAAAGATTTGGTTCCTTAAAGAACCAATAATTATGGTTCTTTATTGAACTTTTCCATATATATATATATATAGAGAGAGAGAGAGAGAGATTCATATATAAATTCTATATATTGTGTGGGTGTATGACCAATTCTTGGCCAATCATTTCATAGACTCATTTTATTAATCTTCATTAATTAATTAATTAAATAACCTAAATTAAAATCCTATAATTATGGATAATCATTTATATTTTAAAAATGATATCCTATATTTATGGAATAATAGCTGTCAATCCTACAGCCTACACATTCATCTTCTTCTCTCCTCAAACCTACATCACATGCGACATCCACCATCATCAAGCCTCAGATCAAGCATCTTCATCACATGCTTCTCCATTAATTCCAAGGATCTGCTACTAACTCGATTTGATTTTCTCTCGAGGATCTGCTTCATAACACAAAAGGGTTTCAAAATTGATGTATCACAAATAATCCCATAATGACAGTTCTTTTTTTCAAAGAATCCATTAAAACCCTTGAAATTCATATCCACGATGTCAATGCCTTGTAAATATTCTCTCCACATTTTCAATTTTCTTTTGGTTTAACCTACTTACATGTTGTTTGCACTTTTTTTTTTGTTAATTATCATAATCAAGTTTTGGGTTTTGGGTCTCTGACACATTTTTTTTCCTTTTTTTATTATCATATTTAACTATCTTTTCTTGGCCATGAGTTCCTCTACTGTATCTTTCTTTTTAATTTACAAATCAGGTGTGTTTGCATCATGTCAATGTTACCGTGTTAAATTTCTAAGAGTGAAATAATAATTTATTAACTTTGAAGTTTTACATCAACTAAATGTTTTTGTTTCATTTTAATTCACAGAGCATCTGCTCTACCTCCAAATGATGAAAAGCATTCCGTTCAAATGAAAATATCATACAAAACGTATGCTACGTTTACAGTACGTATTTGCTTCTAAGTTATCTTGACCTTCTTCATATACTCGTATATATGGGTTTGAATTGATTGTAATATCATTTTTCTTCATAACATCTACATTTAATTTTACTTGTTTTTTGTTTTATACAATTAAAAAATAAGCATAGTATTTTGACCGTGAATTAACTTTGATTCGTAAGGAATAAATTTTGTTAATTAAAGAATGAATTTTAATTCTTAAAGAACTAATAATGGATTATGGTGTTGGTTTGTGATAATGAAGTCTTGACGATGACATTTTTATATAGGTAGATGGCATGAAAGGATGGTGATGCAGTTGGTAATGGATATGGATAGGAGAAAATGGAAACAAAAAAAAGATTGACGTTGTATTCTTTTAATTCTTCTAGAATACTTAAATTCTTGAAGAACTCTCCAGTTATATAAAATAATAAAAAACTTCGTGGTGTTACAAAGCTAAACACTATATTCTTGAAGAATTTATTCAGATGTATATAACTCTTATGGTATTATAGAGCTAGAGCCCTTTAATTCTTTGAGAACTCTTTACTTGTGTACAGAATGGGATATGATATACCATTTCCTAACCACTAATTCTAAAAGAATTTTTCATTTGTTATTAAGTTAAGGGAAAATGACTTATGAATGTAACTAACTATTTCAATTGTCCACATATAGGTAATGTTCTTTTTTTTGTTCTTATTAATGAAACTAACTTGTTATTTATGTTCATATTTAGGTAATATGACCGGCTATTACCTGTTTTTGTCCGTTTTAACCGGTTGCATCAGTTTTAGTTAGTTAAAGCTAATTACGTGGATTCTTGCGTGGCCATTACTCCCCTTTCTCATTTAATTAGGGTTCGATACATTCAATTTCACCATAATCACCACCCGATTTTAGATTCGATTCACCAAATTGAAGATTAGAGTTTGGAGTTGAATTACGTGTTGAAGTCGACTGTAAGATGGCGTCCCAATCATCTACAGGTAAGTATTTAACTGTAGATGTTCATTACAGTGGAGTATTTGCCCGAAATCCATTGAAATACTTAGACCTCGAAAAGATAACAGTGCGTGATGTCGATTTTGGAGGATTTACGTACAAAGAGTTTCTTTTGTGGCTTAGGAATTTAACCAATGGAAGTTGTGATAATGTGTACTACTGTAGTAGAAATGAAACCTTGGGTGAGGGTATTATAAGAATCGACAGTGATGCTGATTATTGGGAGTTTGTTGAAGCTACTTATACTCCTGAAGCTGAGTTGGATGTCTACATTGACCACCAAAATGATCCAATCCTTGATTGGGCTGAAAATGAGGTGTTATCAGATGGTAATTGGTATGAATTGGATGACAACGAAGAAGAGGATGAAAATGAAGAAGAGGATCACAAGGAAGAAGAGGATGACAGTGATGAAGACGATAACTTAGATGATATTATGGCATATGAGCATGAAGTTGATGAAGAAGTCCATACCTTTAACAAAACTGTTGGTGATGATTTTTTAAACAAACTTTCAGGTAAGCTTAGTGATGATGATCAACCTAATGATGGAAAAGATGATAAGGTTGTATGCCCTGTCCATGATGAGAATCAAGAATGGGATAAGATGGTGCCAATTCTAGGTATGAAGTTTGCAAACCCAATGCAATTGAAGCTATGTCTAACCAATTATGCAGTGAAGAATGGGTATGATTTGTGGTATGAAAAAAGTGATCATAACAGGTTACTGGTGAAGTGTTGTAAAGGTAAGAAGAACAAGAAGAATAAAGGTTGTCCCTTTAGGTTGTGGGCAACCTGGATGAGCAATGAAAGGTCATTCCAGATTAAATCTTTAATTGATAACCACAATTGCTCAAGAGTCTTCAAATTTGGGTCCATTGTTACCTATAAATGGATAGGGAATCATTTCATGAATGAGATACTTCAGAAACCAAAGATGAGTGCGAGGAAATTGAAGGCTAAAGTTAGCAAGACATTTAATTTGATTGCAAGTGTGGGGCAGTGCAGAAATACAAGGAGGTATGCATTTAAGGAGATAGAGGTTACTTTAAAGGAACACCATGCTAAAACTTGGAGCTATGGAGAAGAGCTAAGAAGGACTAACCCTGGATCAACAGTGAAGATGGATGTAGATGCCATGCCTGATGGAGCCACTTACTTCTCAAAGTTCTATGTATGTTTAAAGGGTGTGAAGGATGGATGGATTACATCAATGTTTTGTAATGCCTACATGTACACCATTAAGCCACTAAATGGTAGTGATATGTGGCCTGATGTGGATTACATCAAGCCATTGCCTCCCAAAAAGAGAAGGATGCCAGGAAGACCATCAACAAAAAGGAAAAGGGATCAGATTGAGAATAAACTAAAGGGCAATAAGCATATAGTCTCAAAAAGGGGAATTGTTATGAGATGCAGCATATGCAGAGAATCAGAGCATAATAAAGCAAAATGTCCTCAAAAACCAATTGGGGAATCATCTAATCCAAAGCCAAAGTCAAAAAATAAAGCAAAATGTCCTAAAAAACATTTGAATTATTTCATAACAGGTAAAGTTAAGGTTGAATTGAATCAAGAAGTTTATGTGGAATGTGATAGTGACAGTGAAGTTCAAAGGGAGCCTGACAGTGAGGTGGAGTCTTATGAAGTTGATTTTGAAGAGGGTAATCATACATATGAAGATGTAGACCAACCTGAGGTTGAAACTGAAGAACAGGTTGAAGTTGGAGGGGTTGAAGAACAGGTTGAAGCACTTGTTGAAGTTGAAGTTGAAGAAGGTGAATACCAGGCTGCAGTTGTAGATCAAGTAGAAGTTGAAGCTGAAGGACAGGGTGATGGCCAAGAAGGTGAAGAACTTGAACTTGAAGTTCAAGATCCAGTTGGACAAGATGACCAAGGACAGGCTGCAGTTCAAGATCCAGTGGAAGAGGAGCATATGATGGAAGTACCAGCATTTCAAGTTCTACAGGGAAAGAGAAGAAGGAAACCTTCAGAAAGAATCACAAAAATTCAAATAAGAAAGAAGTGGGAGGGGAAACAGGGTAGTAGTGGTGAAAATCCAATGGAATTGGAATAGAATTTGACAATTGGTTATTTTTTGGCATCATTGACTGGGAATCCAATGTCTAGTAGTATGTGTAACTTTTGGACTTGTGTCTAGTCATATGTGTTAGTTTTGGAATCTTGTGTGTACCTTTTGGCAGTAATGCATGTGTAACTGTGTTAAATTCCAATGTTTTGTAAACAATGTTTCCTGGGAATCCAATGTTACATTCCCATGTTAGATTATATTACATCCCAATGTTTCAATGTATAACATTCCAGTGTTTAATTATTTTTCATTCTAAACATGTAACATAAACATCAGAAGCAAAAACATGTAACAAAAGTTCCATCCATTCATTACATACATAAGCATACACAATAACAGGTGGACTACATCCATTCATTACCAATCAAGTTTCAATCATGAACTACATCATTCAACCCTAATACATCATGAACTACAATCAAATCAACATTTTCACATACAATACAAATAACAAAATCAGTGCCAATTTGTGAGTAAACAACTTCCACTTGACTTTGTCCAATTCCTGTCTATTAACCAAATTGATGTTGTTTTCTTGTTCGATCTTCATCCTACATATGCTGATTTCATTCTCCAAAGTGCAAATTTTCAAGATTAAATTACAGCTTTCTTCGGTTTCCTCCAGTAAGGCTTTCTTCCATCTGTCCTCCCTTCATCCTCATCTAGCCATTGCCAGAATTTACAGCTTGGACTTTTTCCATTCTTGAAGAAAAATTAAAAAAAAATGTTAAATTAAAGGATGGAGAAGAAGAAAGGGTATTCAACAAGATGAAGAAGAAGAAAGTTGCAACGTATTCAACAATACTGATTACCATCGAGTTTTGACAAACTCTAAATTTTCTTTCAGGGTTGTCAGGGGTTCTTGAAGTCTTCACACGAGATGGTAAGTTGCAATCACATGGATGATCAGCTTGAAATTCATCTTCTCGTTTTGAAGAATAAGATGAGGAAGAAGAAGCCATCGTCGATCTAGGGTTCAAAATCAGGGGTGTAATTGAACGACTTCTTATACTGTAAACGAAGAGAATATATGCACAATGCCAAATATATGCAACGTATTCAAGTCACGTGCCAGATGGCTGCCACATAAGCAAAAACAGGTAATAGCCGGTTATATTACCTAAATATGAACATAAATAACAAGTTGGTTTCATTAATGAGAACAAAAAAAAGAACATTACCTATATGTGGACAATCGAAATAGTTAGTTACCTTCATAAGTCATTTTCCCTTAAGTTAAAGTGTTTCTTAACCATTAATTCTATAAGAATATTTGATTTTAAAGTGTTGGTTAGTTAGACCGATTCTTAATCCTTCTTAAAAATCAAGTTACATTTTAAGATAGACAACCATATTCTTCAAAAATTCATGATTATTATTTCTTTCAAGAATGTATAATTATTTTTCCTGGTTATGTTTGATTCTCAACATCATATTATATTCTGAATTGTAATAATTTTTATAAGATTTGATTTCATTAATTAAATTGACTTAATTGCTTAAAATGAAGGTAAATTTATTTATCTCTCTCTTAATAAATTGTTGTGTTTTCCTTATATTGAATGAAGTGTAATTATATAGTAAATGTTGTCCCATGTTGATATCATGCGTCTTAAGATCACAACCATACATTCTCTTAATCTAATGGTCATAGTTTGGTCACACATTCATACAATATTTATCATTTACATTTGATATATATATATATATATATAATAATATATTATATATATATATATAACACGGCACAACCACCAAACTAAACCATATTTTTGTAAATTAATCTTTACTAAATAAATATATTATATATATATATATATATATATATATATATATATATATATATATATATATATATATATTAAATAGCGTATTATTGATATTTTTTTTATTACATCCCTCCCCGAAGAGATAACAACAACATTCTTAGCAACCCAGTTTCTCATTAAAGAGCTTTACTGCTTTGGACGGTGATAGAACTCGGCACCCACCAGTTGAACTAGACGTCATTGGCTATCTATAAGTATGTTCTATTCTATGAATACATATAATATGTTTTTTCATATGTATATACGTTTTTTTGTTTATTTATACAGTTTGTTATGTATTTTTTTTGTAAAGACATATTTAAATAAATATTTATACAAATTAAATATCTTTTTTATATAACTTTTGTGTATAAATATATAATTTCTCATTTAAAAGTTAACACCATATAATCATAATAAGTATGTATTTAAATGTAAAGTACATATTTATACACAAAGATTTACATAAAAGACATTTAATATGTATTTTTTTCATTTAAAATTATCTTTTGTACATAATAATACGTATTTTTATGTACAAAATACACATTTTTATATAAAAATCAAAATAGGGTTAAAATACATAAAAAAAACATGTTAAATGTGGTTTTTTACATTTAAAAATTTGTTTATACATTATAATACCCAAAAATATGTATTTAATACTTGAATAATATGAAAAAATAAGTATTACTGAAAGATACATTAAATACGTATCAAAGTGTACTAACATATACAAAACGGATGTTACTAATTACAAAATCATGAGTTCTCGTTTCCTTTCATTTTGGTGCGTTGGCGTGGCTTACATCAACCAAGATACATAGTCAGCAGCCAGCCAACGTGGCTACCACGTGTAACCGACAGGTAAAACCGAAAAAAATAAAAAAAACTTAAGGGTGTCATTTTCCTTTAAAAATATTTAAGAAAAAGACATACCACAATGGAAGAAAAAAAGAAAAATGATTGGCAAATTTGTAAAAGGTTAGGACCCTGTCGCTTTTTGTGCATTAAGTAAAAAAAGCACTCATGTATAGCTTATTAGATTAAGTCGAGTTTCATCTCTATTAACTCAAAAATCAAACAACACCTTCGACTAATAGGTAATCATGTATTTGGGTTCCAAGGGAGCAACTCCTGAATCATTCTTAAGCCCGTTTGCCCTCATCAATGATTGAACTCTTTCCAATTCACTCCACTTTCCCATATCAGTGTACAAACTACACAATTCAACATAGCAAGTATGGTCATTTGGTGCATGTTTTATAAGTTTCCAAGCTGCAAGCTCGCTCATTTCCATGTCCCCATGAGCTCTACACCCAGCAAAAAGAGCTCCCCATACACTTTTACTAGGCTCAAACGGCATTTCCTTGATGATTTCCATGGCCTCTTTTAAAGAACCCGAACGTGCTAAAAGATCAACCAAACAAGCATAATGCTTGGCATTTGGAAGAAACCCGTATTTCCTGTTAAATAATGAAGAAAAGATTTCTCTCCCCTTTTGTACTAATCCAGAATGAGCACAAGCAGATAGTACCACAACCAAAGTCACTTCATCAGGCTTGATACCTTCTTCTTGTTCCATTCTTGAAAACCACCACAACACCTCTTCAACATGTTTTGTCATGGCTAAACCCTTAAGAAAGGAATTCCAAGTGAACACATTCTTCTGTTCCATGCTAAGAAAAACATCTATAGCATCTTGAATCCTACCGCATTTTCCATACATGTTGACCAATGAAGTCCCCAAGATCACATCAAGTTCCCACGAGTTCCTCTTTATAAACTCGTGTATCCAAACACCCATGTCAATAGCACCACAACTCGCACATGTTGCTAACGCATTAACCATGGTCACCTGATTAGGCGCCACACCTGCATAATGCATTTGGTTAAATGTCAATAATGCATCATTAAGCTTCCCACATTGTCTATATCCGGTAAGCATAACCGTCCAGGAGACCACATCTCTTTGAGACATTTCATCGAACATCTGGCGACACAGCCCCATTTCCCCACCTGACGAATACATACTCATCAATGAATTTTCAACGTAAATGTCATTAAGATGACCCAGTTTAACGATATGTGTATGAACTGCTAGGCCTCTTAAGGTGTCTTTAAGGTCGGAGAGGGATTTAAGGACAAGAGGGAAGGTGTAGCTGTTGGGATAAATGGAGTTGCGGTTCATGTGGGCGTAGAATGATATTGAAGCATGAGGCGTTAATGCTTTGATGAGGGTGTTGCATATGCAGACGCGGGGTTTGAAATCGAGGTGACGGGTGTAAAGGAGGTAAGCCGAGGTTAAGAGGGAAAAGGATTTGCAGGCAGCGATGAAGTAGTGGGCTACGGTAATGTTGAGATAGAGGTGGCGATGGTGATGGATGAGTTGAGCTTGGATCTGGTCGATGTGAGAGGCGGAGGTACAGTTTTTCAGTAGATGGATGATTCTGTTCATCTGTGCGGATGACCGGAATACAAGGCAAAATCCATCAACCAAGATCTTCTGTTCATCTTTTGATTTAAGAAAAAAAAACTATATATTTGAGAGTTAGTAACAAAAATGCAAAAGAATATATATTAAAAACATAAAACGCTGTACCTGCTAATTTCGCCCAACACGCCATCAGTTGTCATATATATCCATTCCCTATTCTAATAAAAAAATAGTTTTATTCTCCTTTTGACATTTGTCACCATATTAGGTCTTCATAATTAATACATATTTTATTTTTCTTTTGTCATGTATCACCTTATTATGTCTCCTAATTAATGCATGTCACTTGCCAACCTATTGATTATCCATTTCAAATTTCAAATTTTAAATTTTCAACTCTAATTATATTGAATTAATAACATTAGAATAAAAATTAAAATTAAATTAATACAAATTATAAAGTGATAATTTTACATATTTATTTAAATCAATGATTATAATTTTATATAACTAAAAAATCTATTAATTAATAATTTATTTAAAATAAGTGATTAATAATTTTGAGTTTTTTTACTATTAAAGTTTAATTAATTTTGTAACCGTGGTTTCCACGGGTTATAAACTAGTATATATATATATATATATATATATATATATATATATATATATATATATATATATATATATTTTGATGGTTTAATTTAATTAAAGATAAGTAAAAGGGTATAATGAAAAACAAAGAACACTTTCATGGACCATGATTGTAACTTCAATAAAAAAAAGAATTTGGATGAAAGCGAAGTTGTTTGTTGCTGCTGCTTAATTGTTATTGGTTATCTTGGCCCGTCTTTGCACCCACTCCACACCCAAGCCAGGGCGGTGTTCATACGTCCCTTGGGCTGCTACATAGACTTTCACGTGTTATTTGAAGCTCTACTCTGGATTGCCTAAGGCTAATCGGAATGGGTGTCAAAAAAACGCGTGAGAGCTGAGGTGGACGGCCAAATCACGTGTGAACACCGTCTCGGTGTCCAGTGGCTTGGTTGTGGAGTGGTCATGGAAATGGACGAAGATGACACATGTAATTGGTTAAACTTTTTTTTTTACTGTTTCTTCGCATGTGATTGGTTAAGCTTTATGTTTTAAATTATTTTTTTCTTTAATTTAATATCAAAATAAATAAATAAATAAATAATGTGGAGTGGTAGCAATTTCCAAATGTTAGTGGTTTGGTAGTGAACTTGTAGTAGAACTGATGTGACACTGAGCTGACAACACTTTTCTAATAATTGGTGATGACAACTCCCCTTAGCCTAACGAGTTCAATGGATTCATCATTGCCATATCAATATTTCACTTTTTTTATTTAACTATACTTTTAACATCACACTCCTTAAACCCTACAAAATTTAATATTTTCATATCATCATCATTATATTTTTAAACATAATTAAAATTTAGAAATAAAAGATGTAATAGTTAAAAAAAGGTACATTAATGGAGCATATTCGTAAACGTTTTTACATGACAATCGAAATTAATGTTTAATATTTCAATTAATGTAATATTTTATCAAAATTACAATTTATTAGATTGGTAACGAATATATTTCTTTTTCAATGGATTTTTATTTTTAAATATTTCATTTGATTTATTTATTTGAAAAAAATACGATAACTAAAAACATGATACATTAAATAATATAATACCTAAAAATAGGGTTAATTTATATATGGTTTAATTAAAAAAAATATATAAATCAAATACAAAAGTAATAAGAAAATATGATTATATATATATATATATATATATATATATATATATATATATATATATATATATATTTGGTTTGAAATTTAATTGAAATAGAAAAGATTAAATCCATTAAACCACTAAATGATCATATAACTCTCTCATTCAATTCCTCTCCATGTCATAACCACACTTCATTCAACCTTTATTCAATTAAAGTCATCATCTATCCAACCCTTATTAAACCTTCATTATGGATGTTGTTAAGAGTCCACTCGTCATACTATTTTACCCATTAAACTCTACATTCCATTAAACTTTTAAGAGTTCAATCATATCAACTTTTTATTATATTTGTTTTATAAATAATATTAATATGTAATTTCACTATGTTGTATTATATAAATAGGATGTTATCATTTTAAAATAATTTTAAGATTTTATATATATATATATATATATATATATATATATATATTGTTTAAAATAAAAAAATATAAATTAAACTATTGAATATAAAATAAAATATATTACAAATACACTATAAATGAAAAAAATAATAATATATAGTTTGTTTATGACAAAAAAGAAATCAAATGTTAACTTTCTATATAAGTGGTTATATCAAATTGAAAAAATGGAAAAAATCTTATACAACCGTAGAATGGAATTGGGATTAAACCCTCATTCATTCAACTCATCTTACAATGACGAGTTTATTAGGTTGAATGTGTAACGTTCTAAAATCCCAGACCAAAATTTTCATTTTTAAAATAATAAAATACATTCGTTTTAGTAAAATTACATTCAAGTTAAACCATTTGTTAATAACCATTATTCAAGAATCAAAGTTAAAGAAGACAATGCGAAAACTCAATCATAATTTAGCTGAAGTGTGTGTACAATCCCGCTTTCATAAAACCGATAAGCACCTGCAAAATATTTAATCCACAACTGTAAGCACAAAGCTTAGAGAGTTCCCTAAAATATCTCATGCATCACATCATAATAATCAGATATGGGTTATCAGTAACCCTAAGGACTATCGACGGTCCTAGTGGGCTAACAACATGCCTTGTGGATTAACAGCACACCTCACGGGTTATCAGCAACCCTGGGGACTATCAGCAATCCCATAGACTCACAGGAGTCCAAGAGTTATAAGAAACTCAGTTCACATATAACAACTATCAACAATTAAGACCCAGCTGGTCAACATGCACAAACTACCACACATGCAAGTATAGTGAGAGGACTCACCTCGAAAGTAGCAGCTCAACCACGCTCCAACTCAGCTAACTCAGTCACATACAACCCAACAGCTGACGTCACGACGTGAGCCTTCTATGGTCACGCCGTGAACACGTCCAAACAAATTAGTCGAGGGGCCTCCCATCGTTACGCTGTGACACTTTTTGGTCACGAAGTGACCGCTGTTTGAAGTAAATAATGGTTTGAGTCCTTAATCCTTCAAGTCTTCAACTCTAACTTTTCCAAAAGCTTTATAGGACTCCAAATCTCCATAAAAATGACAACTTTATGGACATGCATGCTCCATACATTTCCCTTACCCATTCTAGGTCAAAATAAAGGAAGTTGAGGCCAAAACTCATGCTTAGAGTCGAAACCACCACAAATCCTCAGATCTGAGACATATAGTAATTAAAAGGCCTCAATTATCCATAAAGTTGCTAACTTTATGGATCACATGCATGCTACCGAACCTAATCATGAAGAAAAGTGAATAAAACTTAGATCTAGCATGCTTAAGTGAAAAATGCAAGAGCTTTAGGACTTACAAAGGTCAATAAACAATACAAGGCGGTGAGGAAGAGCCTTGATTGCTGAAACAATACACCAAAGGGACCATCTTCAGCAAAGAGCACTAAAACCACTCAAAATGAGCCAAAACCACCAAGATGAAGCACGGTTAGGGTTATGAGGTTTAAGGGAGATGGAGGCTGAGAAATGAACCTTAAATTCGAGTTTAGGGTGCTTAAATACGAAACAAACCCTAAAAGATCATGGGCTTGTGCTGCAACCCTTTTCATGTCCTGACCAACTATGTGTCACGTCGTGACCACTCCTCCAATGCGCGTTCTCATTCTTCACCTGTCACGTCGTGACCTCCTTCTGGTCATGTCGTGACTCAAGGTTTTTCTCCAAAACCATGTCTTTGACTCTTCACTGCCCTAAACTAATCCATTTTGGGAAACGAGTGTTACAGAATGCCATATCCCCATTCGTGACAAAATGACAAGTCAGTCGGTAAAAATGGAATATAAAAGAAACAAAAATCCCAAAGCCCCACCGACGGGTTTGAGCCAAAGACGAGGAGTTGGACATTTTTTTTAATAGTATATATGTTGACACATGGCATGCATTGCAATATATAGTTTTAGGATTAATTATTTTATGATATTTGTTGTCTATTTTAAAATTTAATATTATCTAACTTAAAAAAAATAAAATATATAAGAAACGCAATTAATTTCTTTATATAAAACATATTTTGTTATTAAATATACACTATAGTTATTTAAAAAAAACAAAAAAAAACTAAAATAAATGATTTTTCTTTCTCTAAATAGAACCCAAGATATAGTTTTATATACTTTTTTATTTTGATTTTTATAAACTTGGAATAAAAATAATAAAAAAACATAATTTTTTTTGAAAATAGAATAAATTGTTATTTTTTGTAATTAATAAATTGATTCAGGTTGGGTTGTTAATGGGATGAAAGTTTGGGTTTAGTTGGGTTGTGGAGATATAAAAGAGAAAATTAGTTTTTTAATAGACAGTTAGGTTGGATTTAATTGTGAATGAAAATAGTCTTAAAATCCTATTTGACCTCTCATTGTGATGACCTTAGTCAATCACTTTAACCCTAACACCATGATCCCAAGTTTCATTAAACGAAAGAAAAGAAATGGAAGGAAAATATGGAGAGAAAAGAAAGGGAGGGGAAGGAAGTGATTAACTTTTTCATGTTCCCGAGTTCGAAGGAAAGGAAGGGAATTTTTTTTAAATGTGTTCCCAAGTTCGAAGGAAAAGAAAAGAAAAGAAAGCTTAATAACAACATTACAATTTTACTCTTATTTTTTTTAGCAATCATATTACATACATAGTTCACATTGAAAAAAAAATGTTGATTTGCATGTCATCTTCATATTTTGTGTGTTCACATTCGTTTACACACATATATACATATTTAGTCAAATACCACCAACATATAATATTCAATTAAATTATCAATGGGTAGCAAAACATAAATAATATTAAAATGAAAACATTTGTGGCTATCTTTTAATAGCATTTGTCTAATTGAAAAGAAACCAAACTTTAAAATTGTCCAAAACAATGCAGTTTAATCAGACCACGATTCCAAAAACCATAATTCAATTCGTGAAGCCAAAAATAAGTCAAACAAAGAAACAAGAAATAAACACATATCCTCCTAATTCATCATTGGACAAGTAAACAACATCCTCGCACCTGCTTGGTTACGAGCCAAATACATGAGAGCACCTGGTATTTCATGGGATTTCAAACCCATCGGCTACAATTCTTGATAAATTTCATCACTTGTTAACTCATGATGGTAAGCTCTTTCAAAATTTTGTTGCCTTCCCTCATAGCATTAGCCACATCACCAACAACATTCATAATCTTTGTTTCAAATGTTTCGGGTTCAGGTTGAGGCTGAGGTTCAGCTTCCTTTTCTACTTCATCTACGAGTTTTCTTTTTTTAGTTTTGCACTTTTTCGCACTTGAATTTTGTTCAGGCATAGGAGATACCACTTGAATGTTATCTTCATCGTCATCTATACGTTGGTTCTCCAGTGTAACATCATTAATTGCCAATAAATCATCAACCTATGAAATACTTTATATTTTGATGTCCGTAGTCTTGCTAAACCTGACATTTCTCTCCTTTGCTGTTTTAGCATTTTCTCCTGAAGCTCTATTTCAATGTGACCTATTTTATGTACAAAATGTGAAAGACTATAAAGAGAGCATCCTAACAGAAGCAAAAAAAAAAAAAAACAGCAACACACCATAGAGAAAAAAACATTTTTTTACTGATCTTTTTTTAACAACAGTCTCAAAACTATACATACATACGAAAAGATATGCATACATACATACTTCTTAGATTTGTTTATATTATAAAGACCATATCTTATGATTTATAACCAATAAAAAGTAAAAAATGGTATGTACTTTATTAGTTTTATAATTATCAAATCTATTATTATTTTCAAAAAAGAAAAAAAAATGTGATTTTAACAGATATAATAATGGAGCACCTTATAAGTTATAAATATAAAATGAGGTGTTTGTGAAGCAAAGTTGACCCCTTTGCTTGTATCGGACTTCTTGAACACACAAGGGCATAAAAGTAATTTCGAATACAACCAAAGAGCAAAAAATCATGATGTTGTGATGTCTGATGCATACATGGTTGCTACTTTAAATGCTTTGCTCAACACAAAAGGGTTTCAAAATTGATGTATCACAAATAATCCCATAATGACAGTTCTTTTTTTCAAAGAATCCATTAAAACCCTTGAAATTCATATCCACGATGTCAATGCCTTGTAAATATTCTCTCCACATTTTCAATTTTCTTTTGGTTTAACCTACTTACATGTTGTTTACACTTTTTTTTGTTAATTATCATAATCAAGTTTTGGGTTTTGGGTCTCTGACACATTTTTTTTCCTTTTTTTATTATCATATTTAACTATCTTTTCTTGGCCATGAGTTCCTCTACTGTATCTTTCTTTTTAATTTACAAATCAGGTGTGTTTGCATCATGTCAATGTTACCGTGTTAAATTTCTGAGAGTGAAATAATAATTTATTAACTTTGAAGTTTTACATCAACTAAATGTTTTTGTTTCATTTTAATTCACAGAGCATCTGCTCTACCTCCAAATGATGAAAAGCATTCCGTTCAAATGAAAATATCATACAAAACGTATGCTACGTTTACAGTACGTATTTGCTTCTAAGTTATCTTGACCTTCTTCATATACTCGTATATATGGGTTTGAATTGATTGTAATATCATTTTTCTTCATAACATCTACATTTAATTTTACTTGTTTTTTGTTTTATACAATTAAAAAATAAGCATAGTATTTTGACCGTGAATTGACTTTGATTCGTAAGGAATAAATTTTGTTAATTAAAGAATGAATTTTAATTCTTAAAGAACTAATAATGGATTATGGTGTTGGTTTGTGATAATGAAGTCTTGACGATGACATTTTTATATAGGTAGATGGCATGAAAGGATGGTGATGCAGTTGGTAATGGATATGGATAGGAGAAAATGGAAACAAAAAAAAGATTGACGTTGTATTCTTTTAATTCTTCTAGAATACTTAAATTCTTGAAGAACTCTCCAGTTATATAAAATAATAAAAAACTTCGTGGTGTTACAAAGCTAAACACTATATTCTTGAAGAATTTATTCAGATGTATATAACTCTTATGGTATTATAGAGCTAGAGCCCTTTAATTCTTTGAGAACTCTTTACTTGTGTACAGAATGGGATATGATATACCATTTCCTAACCACTAATTCTAAAAGAATTTTTCATTTGTTATTAAGTTAAGGGAAAATGACTTATGAATGTAACTAACTATTTCAATTGTCCACATATAGGTAATGTTCTTTTTTTTGTTCTTATTAATGAAACTAACTTGTTATTTATGTTCATATTTAGGTAATATGACCGGCTATTACCTGTTTTTGTCCGTTTTAACCGGTTGCATCAGTTTTAGTTAGTTAAAGCTAATTACGTGGATTCTTACGTGGCCATTACTCCCCTTTCTCATTTAATTAGGGTTCGATACATTCAATTTCACCATAATCACCACCCGATTTTAGATTCGATTCACCAAATTGAATATTAGAGTTTGGAGTTGAATTACGTGTTGAAGTCGACTGTAAGATGGCGTCCCAATCATCTACAGGTAAGTATTTAACTGTAGATGTTCATTACAGTGGAGTATTTGCCCGAAATCCATTGAAATACTTAGACCTCGAAAAGATAACAGTGCGTGATGTCGATTTTGGAGGATTTACGTACAAAGAGTTTCTTTTGTGGCTTAGGAATTTAACCAATGGAAGTTGTGATAATGTGTACTACTGTAGTAGAAATGAAACCTTGGGTGAGGGTATTATAAGAATCGACAGTGATGCTGATTATGGGAGTTTGTTGAAGCTACTTATACTCCTGAAGCTGAGTTGGATGTCTACATTGACCACCAAAATGATCCAATCCTTGATTGGGCTGAAAATGAGGTGTTATCAGATGGTAATTGGTATGAATTGGATGACAACGAAGAAGAGGATGAAAATGAAGAAGAGGATCACAAGGAAGAAGAGGATGATAGTGATGAAGAAGATAACTTGGATGATATTATGGCATATGAGCATGAAGTTGATGAAGAAGTCCATACCTTTAACAAAACTGTTGGTGATGATTTTTTAAACAAACTTTCAGGTAAGCTTAGTGATGATGATCAACCTAATGATGGAAAAGATGATAAGGTTGTATGCCCTGTCCATGATGAGAATCAAGAATGGGATAAGATGGTGCCAATTCTAGGTATGAAGTTTGCAAACCCAATGCAATTGAAGCTATGTCTAACCAATTATGCAGTGAAGAATGGGTATGATTTGTGGTATGAAAAAAGTGATCATAATAGGTTACTGGTGAAGTGTTGTAAAGGTAAGAAGAACAAGAAGAATAAAGGTTGTCCCTTTAGGTTGTGGGCAACTTGGATGAGCAATGAAAGGTCATTCCAGATTAAATCTTTAATTGATAACCACAATTGCTCAAGAGTCTTCAAATTTGGGTCCATTGTTACCTATAAATGGATAGGGAATCATTTCATGAATGAGATACTTCAGAAACCAAAGATGAGTGCGAGGAAATTGAAGGCTAAAGTTAGCAAGACATTTAATTTGATTGCAAGTGTGGGGCAGTGCAGAAATACAAGGAGGTATGCATTTAAGGAGATAGAGGTTACTTTAAAGGAACACCATGCTAAAACTTGGAGCTATGGAGAAGAGCTAAGAAGGACTAACCCTGGATCAACAGTGAAGATGGATGTAGATGCCATGCCTGATGGAGCCACTTACTTCTCAAAGTTCTATGTATGTTTAAAGGGTGTGAAGGATGGATGGATTACATCAATGTTTTGTAATGCCTACATGTACACCATTAAGCCACTAAATGGTAGTGATATGTGGCCTGATGTGGATTACATCAAGCCATTGCCTCCCAAAAAGAGAAGGATGCCAGGAAGACCATCAACAAAAAGGAAAAGGGATCAGATTGAGAATAAACTAAAGGGCAATAAGCATATAGTCTCAAAAGGGGAATTGTTATGAGATGCAGCATATGCAGAGAATCAGAGCATAATAAAGCAAAATGTCCTCAAAAACCAATTGGGGAATCATCTAATCCAAAGCCAAAGTCAAAAAATAAAGCAAAATGTCCTAAAAAACATTTGAATTATTTCATAACAGGTAAAGTTAAGGTTGAATTGAATCAAGAAGTTTATGTGGAAAGTGATAGTGACAGTGAAGTTCAAAGGGAGCCTGACAGTGAGGTGGAGTCTTATGAAGTTGATTTTGAAGAGGGTAATCATACATATGAAGATGTAGACCAACCTGAGGTTGAAACTGAAGAACAGGTTGAAGTTGGAGGGGTTGAAGAACAGGTTGAAGCACTTGTTGAAGTTGAAGTTGAAGAAGGTGAATACCAGGCTGCAGTTGTAGATCAAGTAGAAGTTGAAGCTGAAGGACAGGGTGATGGCCAAGAAGGTGAAGAACTTGAACTTGAAGTTCAAGATCCAGTTGGACAAGATGACCAAGGACAGGCTGCAGTTCAAGATCCAGTGGAAGAGGAGCATATGATGGAAGTACCAGCATTTCAAGTTCTATAGGGAAAGAGAAGAAGGAAACCTTCAGAAAGAATCACAAAAATTCAAATAAGAAAGAAGTGGGAGGGGAAAACAGGGTAGTAGTGGTGAAAATCCAATGGAATTGGAATAGAATTTGACAATTGGTTATTTTTTGGCATCATTGACTGGGAATCCAATGTCTAGTAGTATGTGTAACTTTTGGACTTGTGTCTAGTCATATGTGTTAGTTTTGGAATCTTGTGTGTACCTTTTGGCAGTAATGCATGTGTAACTGTGTTAAATTCCAATGTTTTGTAAACAATGTTTCTGGGAATCCAATGTTACATTCCCATGTTAGATTATATTACATCCCAATGTTTCAATGTATAACATTCCAGTGTTTAATTATTTTTCATTCTAAACATGTAACATAACATCAGAAGCAAAAACATGTAACAAAGTTCCATCCATTCATTACATACATAAGCATACACAATAACAGGTGGACTACATCCATTCATTACCAATCAAGTTTCAATCATGAACTACATCATTCAACCCTAATACATCATGAACTACAATCAAATCAACATTTTCACATACAATACAAATAACAAATCAGTGCCAATTTGTGAGTAAACAACTTCCACTTGACTTTGTCCAATTCCTGTCTATTAACCAAATTGATGTTGTTTCTTGTTCGATCTTCATCCTACATATGCTGATTTCATTCTCCAAAGTGCAAATTTTCAAGATTAAATTACAGCTTTCTTCGGTTTCCTCCAGTAAGGCTTTCTTCCATCTGTCCTCCCTTCATCCTCATCTAGTCATTGCCAGAATTTACAGCTTGGACTTTTTCCATTCTTGAAGAAAAATTAAAAAAAAATGTTAAATTAAAGGATGGAGAAGAAGAAAGGGTATTCAACAAGATGAAGAAGAAGAAAGTTGCAACGTATTCAACAATACTGATTACCATCGAGTTTTGACAAACTCTAAATTTTCTTTCAGGGTTGTCAGGGGTTCTTGAAGTCTTCACACGAGATGGTAAGTTGCAATCACATGGATGATCAGCTTGAAATTCATCTTCTCGTTTTGAAGAATAAGATGAGGAAGAAGAAGCCATCGTCGATCTAGGGTTCAAAATCAGGGGTGTAATTGAACGACTTCTTATACTGTAAACGAATAGAATATATGCACAATGCCACATATATGCAACTATTCAAGTCACGTGCCAGATGGCTGCCACATAAGCAAAAACAGGTAATAGCCGGTTATATTACCTAAATATGAACATAAATAACAAGTTGGTTTCATTAATGTGAACAAAAAAAAGAACATTACCTATATGTGGACAATCGAAATAGTTAGTTACCTTCATAAGTCATTTTCCCTTAAGTTAAAGTGTTTCTTAACCATTAATTCTATAAGAATATTTGATTTTAAAGTGTTGGTTAGTTAGACCGATTCTTAATCCTTCTTAAAAATCAAGTACATTTTAAGATAGACAACCATATTCTTCAAAAATTCATGATTATTATTTCTTTCAAGAATGTATAATTATTTTTCCTGGTTATGTTTGATCTCAACATCATATTATATTCTGAATTGTAATAATTTTTATAAGATTTGATTTCATTAATTAAATTGACTTAATTGCTTAAAATGAAGGTAAATTTATTTATCTCTCTCTTAATAAATTGTTGTGTTTTCCTTATATTGAATGAAGTGTAATTATATAGTAAATGTTGTCCCATGTTGATATCATGCGTCTTAAGATCACAACCATACATTCTCTTAATCTAATGGTCATAGTTTGGTCACACATTCATACAATATTTATCATTTACATTTGATTATATATATATATATATATATATATATATATATATATATAACACGGCACAACCACCAAACTAAACCATATTTTTGTAAATTAATCTTTACTAAATAAATATATTATATATATATATATATATATATATATATATATATATATATATATATATTAAATAGCGTATTATTGATATTTTTTTTATTACATCCCTCCCCGAAGAGATAACAACAACATTCTTAGCACCCAGTTTCTCATTAAAGAGCTTTACTGCTTTGGACGGTGATAGAACTCGGCACCCACCAGTTGAACTAGACGTCATTGGCTATCTATAAGTATGTTCTATTCTATGAATACATATAATATGTTTTTCATATGTATATACGTTTTTTTGTTTATTTATACAGTTTGTTATGTATTTTTTTTGTAAAGACATATTTAAATAAATATTTATACAAATTAAATATCTTTTTTATATAACTTTTGTGTATAAATATATAATTTCTCATTTAAAAGTTAACACCATATAATCATAATAAGTATGTATTTAAATGTAAAGTACATATTTATACACAAAGATTTACATAAAAGACATTTAATATGTATTTTTTTCATTTAAAATTCTTTTGTACATAATAATACGTATTTTTATGTACAAAAACACATTTTTATATAAAAATCAAAATAGGTTAAAATACATAAAAAAAACATGTTAAATGTGGTTTTTACATTTAAAAATTTGTTTATACATTATAATACCCAAAAATATGTATTTAATACTTGAATATATGAAAAAATAAGTATTACTGAAAGATACATTAAATACGTATCAAAGTGTACTAACATATACAAAACGGATGTTACTAATTACAAAATCATGAGTTCTCGTTTCCTTTCATTTTGGTGCGTTGGCGTGGCTTACATCAACCAAGATACATAGTCAGCAGCCAGCCAACGTGGCTACCACGTGTACCGACAGGTAAAACCGAAAAAAATAAAAAAAACTTAAGGGTGTCATTTTCCTTTAAAAATATTTAAGAAAAAGACATACCACAATGGAAGAAAAAAAGAAAAATGATTGGCAAATTTGTAAAAGGTTAGGACCCTGTCGCTTTTTGTGCATTAAGTAAAAAAAGCACTCATGTATAGCTTATTAGATTAAGTCGAGTTTCATCTCTATTAACTCAAAAATCAAACAACACCTTCGACTAATAGGTAATCATGTATTTGGGTTCCAAGGGAGCAACTCCTGAATCATTCTTAAGCCCGTTTGCCCTCATCAATGATTGAACTCTTTCCAATTCACTCCACTTTCCCATATCAGTGTACAAACTACACAATTCAACATAGCAAGTATGGTCATTTGGTGCATGTTTTATAAGTTTCCAAGCTGCAAGCTCGCTCATTTCCATGTCCCCATGAGCTCTACACCCAGCAAAAAGAGCTCCCCATACACTTTTACTAGGCTCAAACGGCATTTCCTTGATGATTTCCATGGCCTCTTTTAAAGAACCCGAACGTGCTAAAAGATCAACCAAACAAGCATAATGCTTGGCATTTGGAAGAAACCCGTATTTCCTGTTAAATAATGAAGAAAAGATTTCTCTCCCCTTTTGTACTAATCCAGAATGAGCACAAGCAGATAGTACCACAACCAAAGTCACTTCATCAGGCTTGATACCTTCTTCTTGTTCCATTCTTGAAAACCACCACAACACCTCTTCAACATGTTTTGTCATGGCTAAACCCTAAGAAAGGAATTCCAAGTGAACACATTCTTCTGTTCCATGCTAAGAAAAACATCTATAGCATCTTGAATCCTACCGCATTTTCCATACATGTTGACCAATGAAGTCCCAAGATCACATCAAGTTCCCACGAGTTCCTCTTTATAAACTCGTGTATCCAAACACCCATGTCAATAGCACCACAACTCGCACATGTTGCTAACGCATTAACCATGGTCACCTGATTAGGCGCCACACCTGCATAATGCATTTGGTTAAATGTCAATAATGCATCATTAAGCTTCCCACATTGTCTATATCCGGTAAGCATAACCGTCCAGGAGACCACATCTCTTTGAGACATTTCATCGAACATCTGGCGACACAGCCCCATTTCCCCACCTGACGAATACATACTCATCAATGAATTTTCAACGTAAATGTCATTAAGATGACCCAGTTTAACGATATGTGTATGAACTGCTAGGCCTCTTAAGGTGTCTTTAAGGTCGGAGAGGATTTAAGGACAAGAGGGAAGGTGTAGCTGTTGGGATAAATGGAGTTGCGGTTCATGTGGGCGTAGAATGATATTGAAGCATGAGGCGTTAATGCTTTGATGAGGGTGTTGCATATGCAGACGCGGGGTTTGAAATCGAGGTGACGGGTGTAAAGGAGGTAAGCCGAGGTTAAGAGGGAAAAGGATTTGCAGGCAGCGATGAAGTAGTGGGCTACGGTAATGTTGAGATAGAGGTGGCGATGGTGATGGATGAGTTGAGCTTGGATCTGGTCGATGTGAGAGGCGGAGGTACAGTTTTTCAGTAGATGGATGATTCTGTTCATCTGTGCGGATGACCGAATACAAGGCAAAATCCATCAACAAGATCTTCTGTTCATCTTTTGATTTAAGAAAAAAAAACTATATATTTGAGAGTTAGTAACAAAAATGCAAAAGAATATATATTAAAACATAAAACGCTGTACCTGCTAATTTCGCCCAACACGCCATCAGTTGTCATATATATCCATTCCCTATTCTAATAAAAAAATAGTTTTATTCTCCTTTTGACATTTGTCACCATATTAGGTCTTCATAATTAATACATATTTTATTTTTCTTTTGTCATGTATCACCTTATTATGTCTCCTAATTAATGCATGTCACTTGCCAACCTATTGATTATCCATTTCAAATTTCAAATTTTAAATTTTCAACTCTAATTATATGAATAATAACATTAGAATAAAAATAAAATTAAATTAATACAAATTAAAAGTGATAATTTACATATTTATTTAAATCAATGATTATAATTTATATAACTAAAAAATCTATTAATAATAATTTATTTAAAATAAGTGATTAATAATTTTGAGTTTTTTTACTATTAAAGTTTAATTAATTTTGTAACCGTGGTTCCACGGGTTATAAACTAGTATATATATATATATATATATATATATATATATATATATATATATATATATATATATATATATTTTTGATGGTTTAATTTAATTTAAAGATAAGTAAAAGGGTATAATGAAAAACAAAGAAACACTTTCATGGACCATGATTGTAACTTCAATAAAAAAAAGAATTTGGATGAAAGCGAAGTTGTTTGTTGCTGCTGCTTAATTGTTATTGGTTATCTTGGCCCGTCTTTGCACCCACTCCACACCCAAGCCAGGGCGGTGTTCATACGTCCCTTGGGCTGCTACATAGACTTTCACGTGTTATTTGAAGCTCTACTCTGGATTGCCTAAGGCTAATCGGAATGGGTGTCAAAAAAACGCGTGAGAGCTGAGGTGGACGGCCAAATCACGTGTGAACACCGTCTCGGTGTCCAGTGGCTTGGTTGTGGAGTGGTCATGGAAATGGACGAAGATGACACATGTAATTGGTTAAAACTTTTTTTTTACTGTTTCTTCGCATGTGATTGGTTAAGCTTTATGTTTTAAATTATTTTTTTCTTTAATTTAATATCAAAATAAATAAATAAATAAATAATGTGGAGTGGTAGCAATTTCCAAATGTTAGTGGTTTGGTAGTGAACTTGTAGTAGAACTGATGTGACACTGAGCTGACAACACTTTTCTAATAATTGGTGATGACAACTCCCCTTAGCCTAACGAGTTCAATGGATTCATCATTGCCATATCAATATTTCACTTTTTTTATTTAACTATACTTTTAACATCACACTCCTTAAACCCTACAAAATTTAATATTTTCATATCATCATCATTATATTTTTAAACATAATTATAAATTTAGAAATAAAAGATGTAATAGTTAAAAAAAGGTACATTAATGGAGCATATTCGTAAACGTTTTTTACATGACAATCGAAATTAATGTTTAATATTTCAATTAATGTAATATTTTATCAAAATTACAATTTATTAGATTGGTAACGAATATATTTCTTTTTCAATGGATTTTTATTTTTAAATATTTCATTTGATTTATTTATTTGAAAAAAATACGATAACTAAAAACATGATACATTAAATAATATAATACCTAAAAATAGGGTTAATTTATATATGGTTTAATTAAAAAAAATATATAAATCAAATACAAAAGTAATAAGAAAATATGATTAAATATATATATATATATATATATATATATATATTTGGTTTGAAATTTAATTGAAATAGAAAAGATTAAATCCATTAAACCACTAAATGATCATATAACTCTCTCATTCAATTCCTCTCCATGTCATAACCACACTTCATTCAACCTTTATTCAATTAAAGTCATCATCTATCCAACCCTTATTAAACCTTCATTATGGATGTTGTTAAGAGTCCACTCGTCATACTATTTTACCCATTAAACTCTACATTCCATTAAACTTTTAAGAGTTCAATCATATCAACTTTTTATTATATTTGTTTTATAAATAATATTAATATGTAATTTCACTATGTTGTATTATATAAATAGGATGTTATCATTTTAAAATAATTTTAGGATTTATATATATATATATATATATATATATATATATATATTGTTTAAAATAAAAAAATATAAATTAAACTATTGAATATAAAATAAAATATATTACAAATACACTATAAATGAAAAAAATAATAATATATAGTTTGTTTATGACAAAAAAGAAATCAAATGTTAACTTTCTATATAAGTGGTTATATCAAATTGAAAAAATGGAAAAAATCCTATACAACCGTAGAATGGAATTGGGATTAAACCCTCATTCATTCAACTCATCTTACAATGACGAGTTTATTAGGTTGAATGTGTAACGTTCTAAAATCCCAGACCAAAATTTTCATTTTTAAAATAATAAAATACATTCGTTTTAGTAAAATTACATTCAAGTTAAACCATTTGTTAATAACCATTATTCAAGAATCAAAGTTAAAGAAGACAATGCGAAAACTCAATCATAATTTAGCTGAAGTGTGTGTACAATCCCGCTTTCATAAAACCGATAAGCACCTGCAAAATATTTAATCCACAACTGTAAGCACAAAGCTTAGAGAGTTCCCTAAAATATCTCATGCATCACATCATAATAATCAGATATGGGTTATCAGTAACCCTAAGGACTATCGACGGTCCTAGTGGGCTAACAACATGCCTTGTGGATTAACAGCACACCTCACGGGTTATCAGCAACCCTGGGGACTATCAGCAATCCCATAGACTCACAGGAGTCCAAGAGTTATAAGAAACTCAGTTCACATATAACAACTATCAACAATTAAGACCCAGCTGGTCAACATGCACAAACTACCACACATGCAAGTATAGTGAGAGGACTCACCTCGAAAGTAGCAGCTCAACCACGCTCCAACTCAGCTAACTCAGTCACATACAACCCAACAGCTGATGTCACGACGTGAGCCTTCTATGGTCACGCCGTGAACACGTCCAAACAAATTAGTCGAGGGGCCTCCCATCGTTACGCTGTGACACTTTTTTGGTCACGAAGTGACCGCTGTTTGAAGTAAATAATGGTTTGAGTCCTTAATCCTTCAAGTCTTCAACTCTAACTTTTCCAAAAGCTTTATAGGACTCCAAATCTCCATAAAAATGACAACTTTATGGACATGCATGCTCCATACATTCCCTTACCCATTCTAGGTCAAAATAAAGGAAGTTGAGGCCAAAACTCATGCTTAGAGTCGAAACCACCACAAATCCTCAGATCTGAGACATATAGTAATTAAAAGGCCTCAATTATCCATAAAGTTGCTAACTTTATGGATCACATGCATGCTACCGAACCTAATCATGAAGAAAAGTGAATAAAACTTAGATCTAGCATGCTTAAGTGAAAAATGCAAGAGCTTTAGGACTTACAAAGGTCAATAAACAATACAAGGCGGTGAGGAAGAGCCTTGATTGCTGAAACAATACACCAAAGGGACCATCTTCAGCAAAGAGCACTAAAACCACTCAAAATGAGCCAAAACCACCAAGATGAAGCACGGTTAGGGTTATGAGGTTTAAGGGAGATGGAGGCTGAGAAATGAACCTTAAATTCGAGTTTAGGGTGCTTAAATACGAAACAAACCCTAAAAGATCATGGGCTTGTGCTGCAACCCTTTTCATGTCCTGACCAACTATGTGTCACGTCGTGACCACTCCTCCAATGCACGTTCTCATTCTTCACCTGTCACGTCGTGACCTCCTTCTGGTCATGTCGTGACTCAAGGTTTTTCTCCAAAACCATGTCTTTGACTCTTCACTGCCCTAAACTAATCCATTTTGGGAAACGAGTGTTACAGAATGCCATATCCCCATTCGTGACAAAATGACAAGTCAGTCGGTAAAAATGGAATATAAAAGAAACAAAAATCCCAAAGCCCCACCGACGGGTTTGAGCCAAAGACGAGGAGTTGGACATTTTTTTAATAGTATATATGTTGACACATGGCATGCATTGCAATATATAGTTTTAGGATTAATTATTTTATGATATGTGTTGTCTATTTTAAAATTTAATATTATCTAACTTAAAAAAAATAAAATATATAAGAAACGCAATTAATTTCTTTATATAAAACATATTTTGTTATTAAATATACACTATAGTTATTCAAAAAAACCAAAAAAAAAAACTAAAATAAATGATTTTTCTTTCTCTAAATAGAACCCAAGATATAGTTTTATATACTTTTTTATTTTGATTTTTATAAACTTGGAATAAAAATAATAAAAAAACATAATTTTTTTTGAAAATAGAATAAATTGTTATTTTTTGTAATTAATAAATTGATTCAGGTTGGGTTGTTAATGGGATGAAAGTTTGGGTTTAGTTGGGTTGTGGAGATATAAAAGAGAATTAGTTTTTTAATAGACAGTTAGGTTGGATTTAATTGTGAATGAAAATAGTCTTAAAATCCTATTTGACCTCTCATTGTGATGACCTTAGTCAATCACTTTAACCCTAACACCATGATCCCAAGTTTCATTAAACGAAAGAAAAGAAATGGAAGGAAAATATGGAGAGAAAAGAAAGGGAGGGGAAGGAAGTGATTAACTTTTTCATGTTCCCGAGTTCGAAGGAAAGGAAGGGAATTTTTTTTAAATGTGTTCCCAAGTTCGAAGGAAAAGAAAAGAAAAGAGAGCTTAATAACAACATTACAATTTTACTCTTATTTTTTTAGCAATCATATTACATACATAGTTCACATTGAAAAAAAAAATGTTGATTTGCATGTCATCTTCATATTTTGTGTGTTCACATTCGTTTACACACATATATACATATTTAGTCAAATACCACCAACATATAATATTCAATTAAATTATCAATGGGTAGCAAAACATAAATAATATTAAAATGAAAACATTTGTGGCTATCTTTTAATAGCATTTGTCTAATTGAAAAGAAACCAAACTTTAAAATTGTCCAAAACAATGCAGTTTAATCAGACCACGATTCCAAAAACCATAATTCAATTCGTGAAGCCAAAAATAAGTCAAACAAAGAAACAAGAAATAAACACATATCCTCCTAATTCATCATTGGACAAGTAAACAACATCCTCGCACCTGCTTGGTTACGAGCCAAATACATGAGAGCACCTGGTATTTCATGGGATTTCAAACCCATCGGCTACAATTCTTGATAAATTTCATCACTTGTTAACTCATGATGGTAAGCTCTTTCAAAAATTTTGTTGCCTTCCCTCATAGCATTAGCCACATCACCAACAACATTCATAATCTTTGTTTCAAATGTTTCGGGTTCAGGTTGAGGCTGAGGTTCAGCTTCCTTTTCTACTTCATCTACGAGTTTTCTTTTTTTAGTTTTGCACTTTTTCGCACTTGAATTTTGTTCAGGCATAGGAGATACCACTTGAATGTTATCTTCATCGTCATCTATACGTTGGTTCTCCAGTGTAACATCATTAATTGCCAATAAATCATCAACCTATGAAATACTTTATATTTTGATGTCCGTAGTCTTGCTAAACCTGACATTTCTCTCCTTTGCTGTTTTAGCATTTTCTCCTGAAGCTCTATTTCAATGTGACCTATTTTATGTACAAAATGTGAAAGACTATAAAGAGAGCATCCTAACAGAAGCAAAAAAAAAAAAAAAAAAACAGCAACACACCATAGAGAAAAAAACATTTTTTTACTGATCTTTTTTTAACAACAGTCTCAAAACTATACATACATACGAAAAGATATGCATACATACATACTTCTTAGATTTGTTTATATTATAAAGACCATATCTTATGATTTATAACCAATAAAAAGTAAAAAATGGTATGTACTTTATTAGTTTTATAATTATCAAATCTATTATTATTTTCAAAAAAGAAAAAAAATGTGATTTTAACAGATATAATAATGGAGCACCTTATAAGTTATAAATATAAAATGAGGTGTTTGTGAAGCAAAGTTGACCCCTTTGCTTGTATCGGGCTTCTTGAACACACAAGGGCATAAAAGTAATTTCGAATATAACCAAAGAGCAAAAAATCATGATGTTGTGATGTCTGATGCATACATGGTTGCTACTTTAAATGCTTTAAATGCTTTGCTCAACAAATTTTGAATCTTCACCAGATTGAACCAATGTCTGAGGTATAGATGGTGACACTGTGTAAGCGTGATAGTGATGCTTGGAAACTTTTACTCACATAAATATCCCAAGCTCTTGTTTTAAATGGATTTAGAGGAAGGGTGAGTCTCAAAGTTGAGGGTGATTCTAAAACTAGAGTTATCTTTATGATTGCTGCAATGGGCATTGAGGAGTATGAATTTGGCTTGCAATCGCCATACAAATAACTGCCATGCTAGCATGACCGATCATCAAGGAGGAAGTGTTCATTTTCCTAGTATGACCGGTCATCTGCTGAACTACTTTTTAAATGATGATGAGATGGTGAGTAGTACATGGGATCAACTGGAATACATAAAGAATGGTTCAATGAGTATGAGGTTTCACACTTGGTTCCTTGAAAAGGTAAAGAAGAAAGAGAATAAGGTTTTATCTATGTTATATGCTATCAATGAGTACATTGTGGGGCACTTGAAGGAATTTGAAGGGAAAAAGCTTGTTTCAACCACCAAAGAGGGGTTAAAGTTTCAAGAGATTGAAGAGGAACATCCAAAACAAGAGTATCTGTTAGAAAAAAGATCCAATGGACACCAGACTAAGAAAGTCATGCCTATTCTTGAACATGATGAAGAAGAAATATAAAAGCAGAAAAAAAAGAAGGTTCCTAACAACGCTTTTGATGAAGGGTCAAAATTTTAACAGAATTGCCAAACATTATTTTTGAAAAATAATCCACTACCTAAGGCTAATATTCATATTTACGTTCATGTATGTTCTAAACATATATAATCACAGTTAACCTAACAAATAAAGTCAATAATGAAGAAGAAACATAAAAGCAGAAAAAAAAAGGTTCTGTGTGTGTTGTGTTTGATACGTGATTATATAGATAGATTGGTAAAACTGTGTGTTGTTATCCTTATCAAGGATTCTCTTCTCTCCAAATCTCTCCAATTTGGAAGGAAGATTAGGAGGGAAGATTATCCTCAAATTTCCTTTCTTTTCTTCCTAAATCATCCCCAAAAATAACTCGGGAACACAATGGCTTACTCTTTCTCTCGGATTCCCTCCCTTTCTCTCCACTTCCCTCGTTAAATGACACTCGGGAACGAGGTGTAAGTTAACCATGAAATTTAATGAAATATGGCCCAAACTCATTAAAAGTAAAAACGACATATAAGACATATAACCATATGTCCATATTATAAAACTCGATAACAATATTTGTAATTTAGTGTAATATTACTTTCTTATTTGAGTTAACTTTTATATCTAAAATATAAGATTATGTTTGACGGATTAAGCAATAAAAACTAATATTTAATAAAAGTAGCTGAAAAGCTAAGCGATACATAAATAGCGACCGATAGTTGATAAAAAAATGATGTTTGATAAATTAGCTGAAATATACACTTTATAAGTAATGAATTGTATTTTTAATGTATCACAGATCGGTCTGACATGTTTTTATAAGTGACCATATATATCTTAAATGTATATTTAAGTGAATTTAAAAAAAAAAAACTTAGTAAGATCGTTGAAATTTTAGTATGAGTAGTTTTTTTTAGAAAAACTTGAGTTTGCCAACAATAACAACCTAAAAAACTTGAATAACAACCTAAATGGCATGTCAAACATTGTTTTATTTAAGTATATTTATTTTAATTTTCTATCAAATTCATCTTCAAATTCGAATACCATTTAAAGAAACTCTAACCTTGGTTTAAAAAACATCTATTGAATAGAGTTACAAATTACACTTCTCATTCATCTAGATTTATCTTTAACGACAATATGATTAAAATTTTGAATAAGTTTAAATATATATAACAAAAAGGAAAATCTTTATGCTATTCTCAATATAAAAAATTAATAATGAAGAACCTAAAGTTACACCTAAATCTGACGAAAGCCAAAAGTTCCTCCTCATCACATAATTGTCGTTTTATAATAATTTGCAATAATCATATGTTAGGAAATAACTAGGGGTTTGAGCGTTTAGTGTTTTTGTAGGTGAGGTGGAACGTAGAAGGAAAAATGAAAAAACTCATTCTTTATTGCGCATCCGGGGAATCGAACCCCGGTCAGTACCGTGGGAGGGTACTATGATACCACTACACTAGATGCGCTTATGCATGAGTATCTTTCAAATAATTGAAGTAAATTTTGGTTAAGAATGATAATATACTATCCAACATCCAGTTAGATTCCAGTCAAGATTCACTTTTATTACTTCTAACCAGATCGCAATTCTCGGGTTTGAGGTATACGTGAATTCGAAGAAAAGATGAGGGTAATCGGACTGACCGGAGGAATTGCGACGGGGAAAAGTACTGTTTCGAACCTCTTCAAAGCTAATGGATTTCCAGTTGTCGATGCCGACGTCGTCGCCCGTGTAAGACCCCTCACACACACTACCTCTGGCTCTGTTATTCTCTTTCTCCATTTGACTTCCATATTGTGCAAACATTTAAGTAAAACCCTAGTTTTGAAGATAATTTATGATTGCTTCTGTAGTGAAGAGATCTCTATTGAACAGTAATTGCTTCTGAAGTAAACATATCTCCATTGAACAATAACACTTGAATGTATGAATTACTTGGCCTAGCTTGAACCGTATGCCCTTGAGCAGTGGGTGATCACAGACACACACGTAAATACTGATGTGTTTCTTAGCATCACTAATTACTGTAAAGGCTCGTGATTTGTTTCTTAACACTCTGTTCTAACTTAGATAGGCTCTTCAAACTTGGGAAGATTGAAAATGTGCTCAATTGAATTTGAAGTGATTTTTTGTTGATAATTAGGATAAGTTACAACCAAGTTATTCCCAGGAATGTTAATAAAGGCATTATTGGTACAGTATGTAACCAAAATTAACATATATCCTCACCAGCAATGGATGATGCCATGAAAGACCACCTTGTGAAGAGATTATTGGCTAATAATGCTGTAGGCTGCCAAAGTAGTAATCAGATCCATGTTGAAAATGCTAGCAGTACTTGAGATAAAACACTAGTCAAAGACATGATTTTTCTCATTTGAACTTGCAAACATGACTGCTTTAGGCGGTGTTACCCAATACTAGGTTTTTTTAGACATGACTTGTTCTTACTTCTTACTTCTTACACACACTTGTATCCACTGGTGGGGATGCTTTTTGACTGGAACTTCCTTGATACCAGGATTTGCTTTGTCGTGCAAGTATTTAGTTCAAGAAGTTGATGTTGGAAAAGCTCATTTCATTTGTTAAAAAGATTGTTAATCACCTTTTGAATGCTAATTTTATGTGTGTTCACATTACAGGATGTATTAAAGAAAGGTACTGGTGGTTGGAGAAAGGTGGTTGCAGCTTTTGGGGAGGACATATTGCTAGAAAATGGGGAAGTGGATCGACCAAAGTTGGGTCAGATTGTATTCACGGATCCTTCAAAACGCCAGCTTCTTAATAGGTACATAAATGTCTGAATGGCTTTCTTAAGTTTATCACTAGAAAATCCTGAAGTTTCCTAAATTTGTTTGTAGGCTTCTTGCCTCATACATTTCATATGGCATATTATGGGAAGTTTTTAAGCTATGGATAAAGGGTTGCAATATCATTATCCTTGATGTTCCTCTACTGTTTGAGGCCAAGATGGACAGGTGGACAAACCCGATCATTGTTGTGTGGGTTGATCCTGAAACACAGCTGAAACGCCTCATGGAAAGAGACAGAACATCTGCACAAGATGCTCAAAACAGGATAAATGCCCAAATGCCTTTGGATGAAAAAAGGTCTAAAGCAGACATAGTGATTGATAACAATGGGTCTCTAGAGGACTTAAATGAAAATTTTAGAAAGATATTAGATCAGGTTACCAAGCCCTTGACATGGACTGAATTTTGGCTTTCGAGACAAGGTGCTATAGTGGCTATTGTATCAATATTTTCTGGTGTTCTTGGATGCAAGAAGTTGGTTGCACGTTTGTGATTCTACATTTCTACTGTGAAATTTGAGAATTGATAGAGTGGTATGCAAAATGAGTTGTGTGCACATTTTTTGTTCTGTGTGCCTTCAAAATAGTGGACAAAAACTTCTCCCTTGTTTTAAAAATTTATGAAAGTGACAAAGATTTAATGGAAGTTGTTATGCTTGTGTGTATGTAATTTGCCAATTTTTTTGTTTTGGATTCTTGTATTGTCCTATATAATTGGTGTCTCCATTTCATCACCAAGATTTGTTGATATTTCTTCCCTCCACGATTTCACTTGATCTTCATTTTCTTTATAAACTAATTATTTCTTTTTCAGTTTTAGCCTTTAGGCGGACCATATATGAGATTTTTGAAGACATGTTATTAGTTAGTATCAGCAACAGGATATGGTAAAAGGTCAGACTCCCATATCAACCTCTATATACGTATAGTTTATGCATACATTGCTCCCTGCTGCTTGAAAAATAAAATATGCATTGAAGTCATCTTGCTATTAAATTTCTTCTCTTGATTTTTGATCGTGTGATAAATTCTTTCAAGAGTGAACCTATTATGAAATCTAATTAGTTAAAATGAAAGTAAAGAATATTCTTGGCTCGGCTCTAAAATATAAAATTGATTCGGAACAACAAAAAATGAAAAAAGAGGAATAATTTCATTATTTCATTCCATACTGATTTGAAAAGAGCTCCATTTTACAATTAAGTTTAATGATCTAGTTCTTGTTATTCATTTATAAGTTGAGTTGAAAAATGATCCAAGAATATATTTGCACAATAATACAAACTACAATACTTATTATCCTGGTGCCTCTTGCGCATTGCTCTGCATTGGCAATCATGAAACACTTTACTATAGAATCATTGTAGCTTATGAGCTTTTACATGTGATTCAAGGACAACATCTGAACATATGAAAAGCTTTTACATGATCGGAAGACACAGCAATCCGTCAAGTTCAAGAGACAATATCCCAGTCAGAGATTTCCTACTTTTAAACCCACATATATATCATACATAACTATAAGTGCATTACACAAATGCATCCAAGTCCTAGTCACACTCACACACAAGTATCGTCTCTTTAACACAATATACATGCATTTGTTCACCTTTATTGGTATAAAACACACCACCAAATAGGCAAGATATCGAGTCAACAAACAAAAATTATCAACTTCGTATGAGTTGTAGATTGAGAAACAAGCATTAAAACAAATTTAATGTCTGGGTGTTTGAAGGAAAGCAGAGAGATTAGACATGAAAGTTAGATAAGATTGGATTGCACCATGAAGAGGAATATACTTCTTCCGAGGACACTCCCTAAGCATGCTCTAGTAATAAAACCTTGTGAAGCAACGTTGGCTTTTTTTTTTTAAATGCTTTCAGTTCCAAGCCAATCTTCTTGCGGCAGTTGAGTTGCGCTTACGAGTGAGAGAGATCAAGCTCTCGATGCTAAAGGAGGCAAGATTGAGAGAGATGAAGGACTAGTAACGATGAATCTCTAAATGAAGGCGCCATGGTCTCAACTTTTTGGATGAGACTAAAATTCAAGAAATTAGTTTCGTTTAACTTGGCCATGATTTGACTGTCCTTTTTTTGTCGATGCCAAACACCATTCGCCTTAGGCGATGCCAATATGGACCGGTGGAAAAAAGTCAACCATTATTGTGTGGATTGATCCTGAAGCACAGCTCTAACGCCTCTGACCAGAGAGAAAATGCAGAGACAGACATTCTTTGGATCCGAACTAGATGTTGTAGGCATAGTGATCGTAGCAACGCATTATTAGGGAAATGATCTTAAAGATCCCAACAACCTTCTAATGATAAATAATAAAGAAATAAAAACATAAGTTCATATGTGGAAAACTTCAAAAATAGAGAAAGATCATGGGCCAAATTTACTAAATTTAATGAATTATTACAATCACACGGATTAATCTTTCAAATCACCCTACAAATTACACCTGCACTCTCTAAAGTTTTGATTAACTTCTTTCAACATTTTGAAACAAGAGAGAAAAAAAAGAATCAAATACTTAAAAGTATATTTGATCGGCACACATCCACACAAAAGCCATGAACTCCTTTTACAGGCTTGAAAACCACTCCATGTTTCCTCTTGCCATCAATGTTGGAAAAGGTCGTCATTTTTTATTTTAGCCGATTTTAAGACGGATATCTAGAGGTTTAAATGAAAGTTTTAGAGAGACAATGTTTGGCACATGGGAGTGGACCAGACAAAACATAACAAACATAACACAGAACATAGAACAAAAAAGTTTGTCTAGTTTAAAAAACATAACCTAGATGTCAACCGGTTCTCATGGAAGAACTTCTATTGTTAGCAAAGTTTGGTCTTTCCATTTTATCCCCAAGATTTATTGATATTCTCAACACAATTTCATTGTTTAGTCGGACCATATTCCATGGAAATTCTCAAGACATGTCATTAAGGGAATCAACTAGTTATATGATGCCTTTAGGATCCAAGTTCTAATGCCAGGGTTTTCGATTTTTGTTTAAAATTCAAATGTTTTTTTAGAATGGCTTACACATGTATCCACTGCTTTATTTTTAAATCTACACCTTTTGTCTCAAACGAGACATAAACACTCAACATTTGGTTAATGGGTACCTATCCGTCAACTTCTGATACCGTTAGGCCAAAGGCCAATTGGTTTAAAACTCCTCTTGTTATTTCTAAGCCATCTTACAATATAAAAATCTCTTGTTGTTTGGTCTCATTGGTGCAAGTCAACATCCATAATACACAACGATAACTTGTGGCCATTTTGATAGCACTTTATTGATTGTTTTGTTTAAATATTGCATGTTTGTTATTGGTAAGAATAAATATTTTGCTTTTATGCAACTTTTTCCCATTAGAGTTATTAGTGCAAGAAAAGGTCGCATGACATTCAAAGTTTCCAACCCTTAGAAAGTTTAGTGAAACAGTTGGCTCATTGGAAGTTGGAGAAGTGATACATAACTCCATTAAGAATCTTTTTGTTTTATGGTAGTTTGTCCTGTTTTCATTACCCTCTCCATTGTTTATATTATCCAAGGTCTAGAAAAGTGCTCCCAATTTTCACTATTTTTTTTTGTATGTTATGCTTTTGTCTTATGTTTTTGGGTCCATTTCATATTCAATTTTCGAGTATCGAATGATTTACTCTTCAATGCTAATAAAATGATGAAGATTGTTTACTTTCAACTGGGAAAATTGTGTAATAAGTTTCTTTTAACAACAGGTCTTCCAAAGTTGAAACCTGTGAGATTCAAACCACTAGGCCACCTTGATGGTGGTTTGTAATATCGATGTTAATTGCTATAATCAGTAGTTGCTATTGTGGGTAAAATTAAAGCATATGAGCCCATGATGTTGTTCTTTCTTTGCCCTTGATTTTGCTGCTAACTCGTGTTTACCTTTCTGTTTAACCTTTTATATAGGTCTAACTTGAGACCAACCTTTCTATTTGTTAATTCTTCTTTGGGCTAACATGAGGCTAGCCTTTCTATTTGTTTTTTTCTAGGTGTCTACAATTTGAGAGCATATCTCCAAATCCCAAATAATAACTTATTTATAAGTTATTACTGTTTCTTCAACCACTAAATATATTGGAGTATATATATAACTTTTTTTTTACTATATTGTTAACTAATTATTTATCGGTCACTTATTTACTTATTGTAACATTACTTTCAACCCTTTATCGTAATTTCATTTTCATTTTGTCACCTTTAATTCAGTTGAAACTAAAACCTCTTGCTTCATGACATGATAGACCACCTAGTGTTTATTGCTGAAAGAAATCTTTGGTTTATTGTTGTTGCAGTTGCAAAAATGACATGATATTTGCTTTCTGACTGAAAAGCAAAAGGAGGGATATGGTGAGTGGTTGAGTGTAAAATTGGGGATTGCAAAAAGTTTGTATTTTATTATTATTATTTTTACAGTAAATAAATTAAAGATGTTTCATGACAAATTTAAATTAGATAATTTTATGACATGTTTACCATGTTTTTTTATCGTTTTATTATTATTATAATTATTAGTAAATCATAAAGAAAATAGTAAAACAATGATATTTTTTTGAATAACAAATCTAATTTAAATTATTTTTTAATTGTACCTATATCAACAGAATCTTAAAGAAAAAGGACAATACCTAATAATATTGGGCTAAAAAGCCTTTGGTATAGAATAGTAAATTGTAAATAAAATAGTAAAACAATTATATATATATATATATATATATATATTATTATGAGAAATTAAATATTTTTTTATTTTCTTTTCTATTTATCTTTCTATTATAAATATATTAAAATATTATTAATATTATGAAAATGTTATATATGTCATCATCTCACATGAATAAAAAAAATATAAAATAATATTTAATTTGTTATATCACATAGTAGCATGTTTACCCTCCTATAATATATGCTTATAACTAAATGATAAAATTTTTAAGATTTTAAGTTTTAAACCTTATAAATTTAATGTTCATCAATCAAATGGCTACAATTTTGACACTTTTATGGTATTCTTTTGAAAATCCAAAAAATAAAAATCGAAGTGAAATAAAATGAATTAATAATTAAGCTAACAAATATTGCTGTAATTTGTGATCCACCTAGAGTTGTTGGGTTTGGTGCATATTTATTTTTGGGTATTTGTCCTGTCACGTGACATTAATGACGTGTTAGTGAATGGCTGTACCTTCCTGTGTATGGTGTGCTGACGTGTCCTCCACACCAAACATACCCTCCCCCCATTCCACCACCTTCGTTATAACCACACTCCCACTCTCACTTCCTGCCATTTAATTGCACACACCCTCGCCGGAAATTATGGCAAAGCTACCTGTTGCTGCTAACAACAGCACCTTCGACCACCTTGAGGCCAGTATAAGCTGCTAAACCGTATCAATAGTCACTATGCGTCTTTCATCATGTTAATATATAGTTTCTTTCTTCTCTGATTATATAAGCTGTTTCCTTGTAATCAATTACTTTGCAGACTTGGATCTTGAGAGTTTACATCCATTGCGAAGGATGCAAGAAGAAAGTCTTCAAAGTCCTTCAGAGTATCGATGGTGATTAAATTAATCATCTTGCTCCTTCCTTTTCATTCCTCTGTTTTCAGTTTTATTCCTCGACTAATTAGGTTTTATGTGTATGTCTCCGTGATATAACTTTTCAGGAGTTTATAAGACCGAAATCGATTCACTCCAGCACAAGGCTATAGTTACTGGATCCGTAGACGGCGATACTCTCGTCCAGAAGCTTCTAAAATCTGGTAAGCACGCGGAGGTGCTGCCGGAGAGTTTTGAAGCTAGGGCGGCTGCAGATAGTGCGCCCGGAAAGTCGAAGAAGAAGAAGAACAAACAGAACAAACAAAAGGAAGGCGAAACAACGCATGCTGATAACCAACATGTCGACGAAGAAAAAGAGGAATCCGAAGCTGCGACGACTGAAGGAAACGATGGCGCAAAAGAACAGGAAATAGCCCAGGCGGGTGTCGCCGCCGGTGATAGTAACGGTGGTGGAAAGAAGAAAAACAAGAAAAAGAAAGGTAAAGTTGATAAAAAGGACAATAACGCACCACCAAACGGTGTTACCCAAGGCCTACCTGCGGGCAATGCACCGGAGATAATGGCAGAAAATGTAGGGGCCTCCATGGAGCAGTTAAATCTCAGCCGTCCGGGGGTATACGCGACGCCGTACGATCTACCCGCATATCAGAACTACTACCCCACTCCGGCGTACGGGGTAAGTTACAGTACAACTTACCCAAGTGCTGAATCATCATACTATACCCCACCGGTGTACGGATACGCCCAATCACATCCAACATCCGTCTATTATCCACCACCACCACCACCCCCGGCGTATTATCCTAGAAGCGCGTTTGATGACCATGATGATGAAAATAATGGGCAGGGGAGGGGTTGCATTATCATGTGACGCAAGAATCATTCAGTTACAATCCTTGACAAAAAGTGAACTATGTAATATAAGTTTGTTAGACATATATAAAAGTTATATATCTTAGTTTGAGATACTAAATGTGATTAATTATAAATATGGTCTTAAAGTAGTGTTGTATGGATTTTGTAAAGTATAGTCGCTGCTGTAACTTGTAAATAATCAGTTGAAATATAACAAACTATATAAAATAGCGCGTCAGTTTTATTCCAATTATTGTTTTGTAAAAATTTCTTGGCATAATGTCTTGTAATAATAACCGAATTTTCTTTCTTGTATATACTTGGTTACAATTTTTTTTAATACGTTTAACATATTATTGTACATACTTACTTTTTTTTTAATTCCTTTAACATATTATGACAATCCGTTATCATAGGTTTTGTTATATATATTTAATCATTTTTTTTATATTGGTATTAATTATAAATTTTAAATATATTTAGTCACTAATACTTTATATTTTATATACATTTTACTATTAATCTTGTATAATAAAAATATATTATTATGAATTATATATATATATATATATATATATATATATATATATATATATTATTACGAATTTTATAAACATTTATATAAAACCTATATTTACATATAAATACAACATTTTTATAAATAAAAATGCACCTTTTACTATAATAAATTAAACTGTATTTTTACGGCCACCGAGAAAAACTTCAATCATTCTATCATCAATATCCAATTATTTTCCAACTTTTGAAAATTGAAAATGACAAGATCTGAACACAGTTAGTCGTTGATAATAATCTACAACACGAAAACAAAGTAATATGGCTATCTGTGAAGTAAAATAAAGGGATACTTCCAAGGACTGATTTCACTAAAGTAAGCCTTCCACCGAAAGATAGTGTTTTAGATTTTCAATTGGACAATCTGTCTCGAGCCTTGTCAATAACAAATTTTCAGTTCTTCTTAAGAGCCATATTTACCCCCATAGTCACCCCCAAATAAACGAAAGGAAACGAAGCGGCCTCACACCCTAATATACACGTACAATTATTTTTCTCGATATCACTGACACCAATGCCATAAACTTTAGATTTTTGAAGATTGACCTTTAGCCCCGAAATGGCGTGAAAACATTTGAACAACCGAGACATGTTGGCAAAGTTGGATCTAGTCCATTCACCCAGAAAGATTGCATCGTCAGCATAAAAGAGGTGTGATATGCTTGGACCATTGTAGGGAATTTGGAGCCCCTGAAATATGGATTGTTGCACCGCAGATTTCATGACCGTCCTTGCTCCCAAAGATAACGACGGATTAGGGGTGGGATCACTTCAGAGTCTTAACATTGCTCTCTTAGCTAAATGGTTATGACAACTTAAAACTGATAGTGAGTCTATCTGGAGCAAAGTTATTTAGGGCATTCATAATCTCAATCGAAAACCAACCTTCACTTTTCCTAAAAAATCATCTCCTGGTGTTTGGCGAAATATTTCTAGTATTATCAAAAACCTTGATAATCTTGGTATTGATCTAAAAACTATTTTCTATTGTAAGGTGGGTTGCGGATCTAATTTTCTGTTTTGGCAAGATCCTTGGTTGAATGATGTGCCACTTGCTTCCCGATTTCCTAACATTTACACTCTGGAGAAAAGAAAATCTCGTGTTGTTTCAGATAGGCTAAATCAATTTGGCCCGAACTGGGATTCGAAAATAGCTCCCTATAACCATATTGGGCGATCAGAATTACATTAACTTGGTGCGATTTTTTCTAATTTTTCTCTTCCTCGTGGTCTAGATACTTGGTGGGTTAATTCAGCTTCTGATGACAAATTTCATGTATGCGATTTCAAAATCATTATTGACGCTAAGCTTACTGAGGGTGTTGATAACCATACAACTTGGATACATCTGGTGCCCCTTAAAGTTAACACTTTCGTTTGGCGGGCTTCTATAGATCAGATTTCTTCTTCAGTAGCTCTTTCACGAAGGGGAGTTTGCATTCCTTCCAACAATTGTCGATTGTGGTCGTCTTCTATTTCAGAGGTCACTGATCATGTCTTGGTCAGCTGCAGTTATGCTCGAGAGGTCCAAAAGTGGATCTTGAGATGGTGCAATATCTCTTCCTTTCATCCAGACTTGGTGATTGATTTCATTAAGTTTGTAGCTTTATGGGGGAATTGCCCTAAAAAAATAAAGATCGTTGTGGCGATTGTCTACGGATACCTGTGGAGCATTTGGAAAGCTAAGAAAAAAGTGAATGGTACAATATATATAAAAAAGTAATAACCAACCGGAGCAAAGTTTGTTACCATTAGGGAGGAAGGAGTCATTCCCTCCCAACCCACCGAACCCAGTGTCACATCAGTTTTTGTCTCTTTTTTTTTCTTCATCTTTCTTAACCCACAATATACGGAAATCCTATATTTCTCAACCCACTCAATTAAAAAAAAATTCAAAACAACTAAGGTACAAATCTTAAAACACATGGTACAAGAGAAAATGAGAGAGAGAGAAAGTAGAGAGAGAAGATAAAATGAGTTAGTGAAACCAATTAAACAACTCGTTGAAGAGGAAATGGTACCAGCGGTAACTCTATTGCTAATTAAAATTTTACCTTGATTGTTTTGTATTTTTTTAATTGAATGTGTTGAGTTTGTTGAAAAAGATAGGGTTTCTTGTGTTGTGGGTTGAGAAAGATGAAGAAAAATGAAAGAGAAAAACTGATGTGACAGTGGGTTGAGTGGGTTGGGAGGGAATGACTCTCTCCTCCTTTACTAGTTATTAACCCAATTTTTTTCTTTTGTATAAAATAACAATATATTCATAAAATTATAGTAAGATGTTATTTTTGGTTAAAAACAAGATAACGTTGTCATTTTGGGTAATTGCCAAGGAAAAGAACAAAAAGAATTCCTGTTTTTTTTTTTTTTTTTTTTTTTTTTTTTTTGGAATATCTTCCTCATTACTCCTCCTAAAAACGATAATAGAGATGGAAAAGTAACACCAACATTTTTTGCATGTATTTTTCTGTAAGAACAGACCTTTTTGTTACTCACTTTATTCTAAAGTATAAACAAGCTCACACATATTAACGTTTTAAATCCAAATTTAAATTCATAACCTATGTATCATAAAGATAGATTGGTCTTACTCGATTAAAGATCAATATATAACTGTTTGTATACATTTAAGGAAATCAATTAAGGCCAATGTGATCAAGGTCTCGCCTATGTTTCCTGTTAAAAGCTTAAATATGAGTAGTTTTGATAAAACTGGTATCCATCTTTTGGCCAAAAGCGTTTAAAGAGTGAATCTTGTTACCTATATAAAGGAGATAGAAATTTTCCTTCACAAAAGAATTGGCGTGACTTACAATATAGGATTGATAGTCACCAGAAGAAGCAAATATAATATCTTTTAATTTGTTTTTTAAATATAAAAGATTTGGATGTATCACTGTTAGACATAATATTTCATCAATTTAGAGGTTGTGGGTTCAAGTCTCATTAGGATACATAAGTGATATTCAAGAGTATGCTAGTTTGTCATTTAAAAAAAAATAAAATACAAAAAACTATCACGGTCAGACAAAAATGGATCTAACATGAGTCTTGACTATACATCATCTATATACATTATCATCTTCATTCAGTTTAATTAAAGAATGTTCAAATTGGACCGAAACTCGTGGAATAAAGACGATGAAAGCCCCTTAATGTAGATATCACTAATGGTGTATGGGAACCGACCCATACAAGGGCAGGCTGGGGAAAGAACAGATGTATTAAACAAGATAAGGCAAGGCCCAAATCCACAAATGGGCCGGTAGTCAATCTACTAAGTCATGCAGACTTGCAATAATAGACAAACAAAATCTTCTGTATAAGATCCCCAAAGCAACATCCCAAGAATCACGGAAAAATGCAAGGTTATTTTATTAAAGGTTCTACCCTTGTAATCTATGGACCAAAGCAAGATCTAGATAATAAAGCCACCACCAGCCTTTACCTATAAAAGAGTTAGTTTCATCTTTATCAAGAAATGGACTCTAATCAATCTATTTTTATAACCCCAAGTCGACATCTAACTTAGGCATCGGAAAGCAATATTGGGGTCCAACCCTCTCTATGACTTTCTAACCTAGCATTTGTCTATTCTATGCAATGTGACTTCCGGAGTGCTCATTAAGCGAACTCCCTGAAGGATAGCTAACAACGCACCAGGAATTCTACGTATCAACATTGGCACCATCCGTATAGAACAATGCAAGATAAGCAACAAACCTCGTGCTCTCAGTTTAACTCGCCCTTCACTCCTATCAATTTGATCCCAACATTCACACCAATTACCATAACAACACCAACGATTAGACCAACGATAGCTTCTTTATCACAACCACCTGCATTTCTTTCTACTCGACCAAGTGTCCAACTAGAAGAAGAGCCGAATGACTAAGCATCAAGAAAAGGGGAAAAAGCCAGGCAATCAATCTCGGTCACAGTGGAAACGACTAGCAGCTCGAGCACCGGAGGGCGAAACGTATCCAATATACCGACCAAACAAATGGATGGGAATAACGAGCTAACAATGCAAACCTTACCACATTTGTTGCAACATCATCCTGCAACAACAACGCTAATACAACCAAATGCACCTCCATATATACCATTGCCACCACCATTCCCATATACACACTATCAAACATATTGCCCCCCTCAACATAAAAAAACCTACACTCTGCCAACTACACCAGGGGACTAAGCAATGCCAAAAATTCATCATACCGTACATGTGGAAAATAACAATGGCCGGAGAAACTTGAGTGGAAACACTAATAGCGGCTGGGTCTTAAGGTCAAACAACTCTCCTCTAGTGAGGAGCATATGCAAATATCAGCTATCGGCAGGAGCAAACATACCCGAGATCTCAAAGTACGACGGAATGGGAGACCCTGACGATCACATCGAAAATTATAGGTGGACAATGGATGCTTACTATTT